AGGAGACACGACTACAACACTTACAAACCGCAAAAAATGTGAGTGTGTCAATGGTAACATCACTGGCGGAGTACAAGCAAATTGAACGAGGAGATGGTAATGTAAGCATCAGTATAACAATTTAGAGAGCAGAGAAAAAACGGGTGAAGGCAACAAAGAAGGTGGTCCTGTATTTTTGCCTTAGCATGTAATTAAATTGGTTTCCAACTACTAGGCATGTTTGTAAATATGCTAAATTGTTTGTATAGTTTGGTTGAATCTCTTAATGCATTATGCTTATTTTCGGGATAAAAAAGCTTTATCCATAACAATGCATTATAAGTATAATTGTTTTTACTCTATATGTGTAAAGGGTTAATTTTCGTTCTATGGTCACTAAGGTAATACATTAATATTATTGGGTTATAAAGGACAGATAGAAAGTGAAGGAAGATCAATTTAGAAAATAATATAGTTAGCTGGTCCTGAGGATGCTTATAGAATGGATTACTACTACAATTTTAAGAGTATTATGAATTTTCTGCTATTAATCTACTATTTGAGTATAATAGTTAATATATGATAATCTATGCTACTTATAAAAGAGAATACCCATGTCAAAACTTTTGATTTCCTTTTTTACCCTCATCCTCCTCAATATTAGCACTTAATACCCTTAAAATGCAATTTTAAAGATATAAATTGTAAGTATCAAATATAAATTGGGGGACTCTAAGAGCTAATAATAAACTAGAAGAGGTTTAATAATTTCTAGAAAGATAATTTTAAAATGACATCCCTCTCTCTCATGTAAATGTACTTGAGCTTCTTGCTTTACAAGTAGTTTATATTTTATAATAGAAACATGTGTAAGCTAATTTTCTATGTAGAGAGTTATTGTTTTCGATAAAAATAACTTATTCACGACCTCCTACCAATATACCCATTTAATCTTTATGCATTAAGTCTCATTTCATTGAATAAATATTAATTCTTTATTAATTACTATAATATCTTAATATCTATTCACTTTCTAACCTAATAGAACCAAAAGAATTCCAAAAAAAATTGATCAACAAGTGTGTCTACGTGCAACGCACGTACACAATACTAGTCACATCAAAAGTGCGTACCTCACTCCTCTGTCTCGTGGTAGCTCATTTAGCAAAACGAGATGCCACATCATGTGTGTGCGTATAATTTGAACAATATTCGAATGAGAAGCAATCTATGGAAAAATGGAAAATTGTGTCAAGGCCCCAATATTTAGAAGCTCATGTGATCAACCCCTTCAATCTTTTTCTCATGCGATTCAGCCCTCAAAATTAAAGTCTATATGATTTAACTCTTAGTTAGTCATTATTCCTTGCTAACTAAGTACAGAGAGAGAAAGAAAAATTTAAAAAAAAAAATCCCAAAATGTCCTTATCTTCTCTATTCTTTTCTCTTCAGATCTAATGATCATGGCTACTACTCTCCTTCTCTCTTCTAACCCATCTCCTTCCTCCTCTCTCCCTTTTCCTCCTTTTTCTCTCAGACACCGACACCCCCCTCCGTCACCACCGAACTTAGGTGCACGCTCCGGCCATATTGTAAATCTGGGATAATGTTACTTAGAAAAACTCAAGATTATTCACTCTTTTTCTCCCACCAAAATTTTACGCCCCCCCCCCACAAACCAAAAGAAGCCCAAATTTGATCAACAATGGCAATGAAGAAACCCTCGAGTTCGTCAGAGTTCTCACCAGAGGATCGGTTAAACAACAGATCAGTCTCCGACACTGAAGACGAAGAGGTGGTGAAGAACGAGGCGGAGGAGGCGGTGCTGGAGGAGGACGAGGAGGAGCTCGAGGCCGTCACACGTTCCACAAATACCTCTAAGCTATCAATTTTTTAAAGAAATTTGTAGTTTCTATTTGAACATCATGGAAAGATAAAATTTTAAAGAAATACCAGCTAAATATAATTTCTTTTATAAATTTTGATGTTAAGTTCAAGTCCAAGTAAGTTAATGGATTTTTTGATGTGAAGTTTAAAATTTATAAAGGTAAGTCTAACGAGTTACAACTTAAGTCTAAAGGCTTTTATGTTAAGTCATTTGGGTTAAATAATAAGTCTAAATGTAGAATGTTAAGTGTAATTGATTATATGTTATGTCTAATTTCTAGTATATTAACTACAAGTCGTTACATGTTAAGTTCAAAGCGTTGTATGTTAACTCTAATTTGTAATATGTTAACTGCAAGTCGTTACATATTAAATCAAAAGCGTTGTATGTTAACTCTAGTTGTAATATGTTAACTACAAGCTGTTATATGTTAAGTCGAAAGCGTTGTATGTTAACTCTTATTTGTAATATGTTAACTGCAAGTCGTTACATATTAAGTTCCAAAGCGTTCTATATAACTTCAAGTCGTTACATGTTAAGTCTAAAATGTGATATGTTAAGTCTAATTTATGTGTTGTCAAGTCTAAATCTATCCAATGTTAACTCAATTAGACTTAACATGTAATAAATTACACATAATGTTAAATAAATTAGACTTATTATTCAGCCGAATAGACTTAACATATAAATTTTCATGTTAAATTTAAGTCCAAGTGGAATATTAAGTCTTAATGAGTTGGAAGTGAAGTCCAAGAGCTTGTATATTAAGTCTATCAGGTTCAATAATAAGTCCAATGGCTTGTATATTAAGTCAATTGGGCTGAATAATAAGTCTAATTTATTTAATATTATATGTATTTTTTTACACGTTAAGTCTAATTTGAGTTAACATTGAACAGATTTAGACTTGACAACACACAAATTAAACCTAACATACCACGTTTTAGACTTAATATGTAACGACTTGAAGTTAACATACTACAAATTAGATTTAACATAACACGCTTTAGACTAATATGTAACGACTTACAGTTAACATATTACAAATTAGAGTTAACATACAACACTTTGGACTTGACATGTAACATTTTGCAGTCAAGATATTACAAATTAGAGTTAACATACAACGTTTTGGACTTAACATGTAACGACTTGCGATTAACATACTAGAAATTGGACTTAACATAGAACATTTTGGACTTAATATGTTCTCATTTGCAGTTAACATACTAGAAATTATACTTAATATATAATCAATTACACTTAACTTTCTACCTTTTAGGCTTATTATTCAACCCAAATAACTTAATATAAAAACCTTTAGACTTAAGTTGTAGCTTATTAGACTTAACGTCATAAATATTGAACTTCACATCAGAAAATCCGATAACTTACTTGGACTTGAACATAACATAAAAAATTATAAAAAAAATCACATTTAGCTAGCATTTCTTTAAATTTTCATCTTTCCACGATGTTCAAACAGAAGTTATAAATTTCTTTTTAAAAAAACAATAGCTTAGAGGTCTTGTAGAACTTGCGACGACCTCAAGCTCCTCCTCGTCCTCCTCCAGCAATGCCTCCTCCACCACCTCTTCACCTTCAGTGTCGGAGACTGATTTGTTGTTTGATGGATCCTTAGATGAGAACTCCAACAAATTTGAGGGTTTTGGCATTCCCATTGCCGGCCAAATTTAGGCTTTTTTTTTTGTTTTTAGGGGAAAAGAAAGAGAGAGCGGGGAAAATATGTACGAGAAAAATAACGAATAATATTGAGTTTTTCTAAGTACTATTATCCCCAGATCAACAATATGGCCGGAATGCGCACACTAAGTTCGGTGGTGACAGAAGGGGATGTTGGTGTCTGCGAGAAAAAAGGAGGAAGGAGAGAGGGGGAAGAAGATTGGTTAAGAGAGAGGAGGAGAGGAGTAGCCATGACCATTAGATCTGGAGAGAAAAGAATAGAGAAGATAATGACATTTTTGAGATTTTTTATTTCTCTCTCTCTCTCTCTCTGTACTTAGTTGGTAGGGAATAATGACTAACTAAGGGCTGAACCACATAGATTTGGATTTTGATGGCTTAATCACAGTTGATAAAAATTGAAGGGGTTGGCCACATGATGTTCTAAAAATTAGGGTCTTGACATAATTTTCCCATGAAAAAAATGGACATTTACCTCACCTTGGAAGGACTTTAAGGCTGCTGGAATTGGCCTTTCGTAGAAAAGATAAAAATAATGATAAATTTTCAAAATCAACCCCTTTAGAAATTTATTTTTAAAAACGACTCATTTGTAATTTATTTATCATTTTCGACCCAGTTTCAGCCACCTCACTGAAAACTGGGTCGAAAATGACAAATAAAGTTCGAAAACTTCACATGATTTAAAATCCTGTGAAGTTTAGTGCCTGATTAACCATGCTAAAATTCACAAGATCTGAAATCTCGTAAAAATTTTGAACTTTATTTTTTATTTTCGACCTGGTTTCAGGGCTGAAACCGGGTCGAAAATGAGGTGGCTGAAAACATGTCAAAAAATGACAATTAAATTTCAAATGGGTCATTTTTGAAAAAAAAAATACTAAATAGATCTATTTCTAAAATTTGTCCTAACAATAAAATCAGAAGGCACTTACCTCGCGTGCGCCGCACATGCCCAACAAATCCCAGTGAGGGGCTGTTTGGTTGTATGTTTTTACCATGTAAAAGTATGGAAAATGTAAAAAAATGGGTCCCAATGTTAATTTTCATCACTTTACATTGTTTGTTTAAATTCTTTTTTACATAAAAAGCTTATACCTTTTGATGAGGTGTCACCGAAAGCAAAATCACCAAAATTAGGAGTGATTTTGTTGGAAAGCTGACACAATGTCATAAATGTGTCCAAAAAAATAATAAAAAAATTAAAACCTTGTAGAAAGTGGTAAGGTGGATACTCACTTTTCATTTTGTGTCATAAATACTTTAGTTTACATTATACTATCCAATCAATATAATACTATTATTTTAGGATTCATAAAGATTTCTAACAAAATAATGTAAACAATAAAATGGAAAGTGGTGAGGTAGATAACCATTTTCTATTTTGTGTCATAAACACTCTAGCACTTAAAAGCATCCAAACAGCCCCTGAGCGCAGATAGCTGGGCAGTCCCCTCACCGGTTAAGAAGTCGCCGTCAGGCCCGTCACGCACCCACCGGCGGATCCACCCGCTTACCGCTCACTCCTCCTCCTCCTCCTTCCCGCTTCCACTTCTCACCATTCTCAAACCAAAAAACCCAAGGGGGGGAAAAATCAATGGAGCGAGGAGAATACTCATCGGACGAAGACGACGATCTCGAAACCCTAGTTCCCCAAAACCAAACCAGCCCAAAACCCCAAACACGCTCCACCTTCGAGATCGCTGCCGCCGTCTCCGCCCAGGTCCGACGCAAGCTCACGGCACACAAGCGCTACTACCTCGTCGCCATTTCCCTCCCTCTCATTTTGATTCTTGTTTACTTCTTTCTCCCCCTCGGCCGCCTCTTCAATGGAATCTCCATCGTCAAGACCCGCTCCCCCTCTGAGCTCATGCGCGAGTCCGAGCTTAGGGCTCTCTACCTCCTTCGGAATCAGCAGCTCACTCTTCTTGATCTCTGGAACAAAACCCTAGGCGAGGCGAATCGGTCCGGATCTAGTCCGGTTCAGTTTGACGAGTTCAGATCTGCTGTTCTTGATCAGATCAAGATGAATGGCCAGATCCAGAAGGCTTTGCTGTCTTCTCACCGGCCGAAGAACGCGACGGTCGGACCGGTGGATGGTGATGGCAATGTGAGCCCTGATCTGGAGAATTATGGAGTGGACTTGTGTAAAAAGGTTGAGAGGGCGAAGGATCGGAGGACGATTGAGTGGAAACCCAAGAAAGATCGGTACTTGTTTGCAATTTGCTTGTCGGGGCAAATGTCGAACCATTTGATTTGTTTGGAGAAGCATATGTTCTTTGCTGCGCTTCTTGATAGGGTTTTAGTGTTTCCTAGCCATAAAGTAGATTATAAGTATGATGAAGTTTTGGATTTGAATCATATAAATGAGTGTTTCGGTCGCAAAGTTGTGATGTCTTATGATGAGTTTGTTGAGGAGAAGAAGAATAAGTTGAAGATAGATAGGTTTATATGCTACATTGCATCGCCACCTTGTTTCTTGGATAAGGAGCATATCGAAAGGTTGAAGGGTCTAGGGTTTACGTTGGGAAAGATTGAAGCGGCGTGGCCAGAGGATGCTAGGTCAAAGGAACAGAAGAAGAGGGTTGTGGGAGATATTACACCGAAATTTAGTTCAGATGATGAGGTTATTGCGATTGGTGATATGTTTTATGCTGATGTGGAGGAGGAGTGGGTGATGCAGCCAGGTGGTCCGCTTGCTCACAAATGCAGGACTTTGATTCAACCTAGTAGGCTTATTATTCTCACTGCGCAGCGGTTTGTGCAGACGTTTTTGGGTGGTAACTTCATTGCTTTGCATTTCAGACGGCATGGGTTCTTGAAGTTCTGGTAAGTTTTCTTTGTGATATATATATAATGCATCTGGGATTTATTGAAGTTTAGGATAGTTGATCGATACAGTGGATGATTTGGTTCCGCTCTTATGGTGTTCAAAAGGTACATACATACTAATACTAGAGATTAGTTATGATATTGCTTAGTATGACCCTTCATCCTCAGACATTCCTCAAAGCCTGGGGCGGTTCTATGATGGAAAAGTAAAAGGAAAAGAGGAGGAAAAGGTTTTCTCACTAGAATGTGTTTATTGAAGTGGCAACAAGATATTTCAATGTTGACACTTCCATATTGGACTTTATACATCAACATGTGGAAGTTTGTGAAACGAATTATGAAACATTTACTAGATTTTGAAATGGTGGTTAAGGGCTTTTAACAAATATCTACAAAGAGTGAAAAGGAATGCATCCAATCTATGGATCTAAGTAAGAGTGGATTTTGTTGGATAGGTATGTATCGTTTGTGTAATAATGTTGACACAAAAGTAGGTATGTATTGTTTGTATAATAATGTTGACACAAAAGTATATTTTACCCCTGTAGGTATTAAACTGCTTGGTTTAGCACGTTACAAGATGCATACTACATTTCTGACAGAAATTAAAGTTTCACAATAACTATCATGGGATTAGGATAAATTTGAAGATCTACTCCTTATTGCAGCCTATGGCAAATCTATAACTGAAATTAATTCAAACTGGACTGATATGGAGATATTATTATCCCACAAGTAAAGATTTCTATGTCAAAGTTCATGAATTGAAAGGTTCATTTACAAGTTTGTGATGTCTACCATTCATCATCTGCCATAGCCATCTATCCCCATTAACCAGGGAAGCAATGCTGACGGGTTTAACGTACCTTAGAAGTCCGATTACCATAGTCTTAACCCATTTGGAAAGGTCGTGAGGGCACCAAGTGTCTTGTAGTAGGAGTGTAGGACACACTGGATTGTCTGGAGAGCAGGATACGGGAATGAGAAATGATATTGTCAAAGGCTTTTATTGGGTAGAAATCTTGGTTAGTATTTAGAAGGCTGTGTTGTTAATGCACTAGGAGCCTCTTAGGTTATAACTGGTTTATGAGTTATTTCAGAACGTATCATTACGTCTTCCAATTATTCAAGCCACACTTATCTTTATGTCTTGCAATTTCCTATAGTAGCATGCCTTATTCTTGTATATGGCAACCAAATGTAAGTACAACCTATCAGTAAAACTTCTTTAGTGAATACTTCCTCCATATAGGTGTCTGATTATTTGGATCATTTGAGAGTTCATATTCAGTCTTCAATTATAACATGGTTTTATTAGGCAATAACTGGGAACCTGTTCTATTGCAAACTATAAGCTGTTGCAAGGGTAATGAATTCCCCTACTCAACTTATATTATAAGATTTGCTCCAGAGGCAAGGAAGTTTAAACTATAAACTGCTTTAGGATTTTCTTTTCTTCTTCTAAATTGTAGTCCATGGAAGTGCAGTCATGGGAGATCGATCCAAGACAGTATGGACACAGCAGCATGAGAAATCCTTATTATTTATGGGGATGTAAGATGACTTAGTTGGGTGTGTTAGAGTATGCATGTATTTTTATATAGGAACATCAAAACTCATAATGACTATGACAAGTTTTACTAGAGTAGAAAGATAAAAGAATAAAATCTCAGCGATCAAAATCTGGAACTTCTTGTCAAGTAATTAAATCAAGGAAAAACCTCGCTGTCCAATGTGATATCTAACCTACTGCAGGTCTATTAAGTCCTTCACAACTTTGTTAGGAGTTTAGATTTTGTTAACATTGTACCCTCCTTTATTTATTGATTTATTTATTTTGTTTACACAGCACATTGCTGAGGTGTTGATGTGCTTTTTAGAGCTTTTCGAAGTCAACACTGTCTCATTGAGCAATTTTTTGGTTTCGTAGTATCTGCCAAATCTCTGCAGTGTTTCGATATCGTAGGACAGGCATCAACAACTGTCAAGACTCAACACCCAGTGCACATTGGCCATATATATGGGACTTAGTCTGAAATGCTGGTGCTTCAATATCATGGCCTATGAAATGCTAATATTTAAGGACAAGTATGGGTTAGCTATTTCACCTATCCAATCTGACATTTTGACTTATAAAAAAAGAAATACATAATTCTGGCCACATTGTCCTGCAATTTAACAGGAAATGTAATTTTAGTTGGGCCCAGAAGATAGTTAAAAATGAGAACCTTGCTCCACAGACCATGGGGCTTCTTCCCACAGTCCATGGTCACACTGGTCTTGTGGCCAGAATCAGATTGGAGCATCAGACCGACTAGACTATTGATTGTCATTTGGTTGGTCCTTCCATTCTTTTCTTTTGCTGGGTTCTACCAGGGGAAAAACCATGACACCAGGACTGCATTTGTTTCTCATTTTCTAAGAACTATGTTATCAAGTAAAAACGGAGAAGAAAAATAAGGCAAAATGTGTTGATACTTTCACTTAGGTAAAGTGACTTATTTCAAAATATTTCCTTTGAGGTTAAGGTACATGCAGATTTCGCTCTTCTCCTCATTTGCCACTCATTTGGTTGTGTTGGTGTTTTTTCTCATTCACTTTTTGGGGTATTGTTCTGTTTATTAAGTTATATAATTTCTTGTAAGCAGTACTGTACTTTTTACCTTTTCTGGGCATACACTTAAGCTGACCGATCACCTTGTTATCACATCCATCAAGATACATTTCTGGGAAGTGAAAACTGCTCTTAAGCATTACTGAGTACTAACATGCATATTTCGAGCACCGTTACTGATGAAGTTTTTAAGTAATCACAAAAGCAAATACCTAACTTTGTTACTTTTGCACTATTTTGTTACAGTAAAACATGTCCAAAATTTACCCTTCAGAAAATTTCCAATCTTTTGATACTAATTGATCACCTTGTGAATTGATGGACATCTGTGAATCTACTTTGTAAAAAAAGTACAATCAGTGTGTCCAACAATGTTGATTTTGGCAAGAGGCCCGTGGCTTCTGAGGGAAGAAGAAAACATAATGGGGGAAAGGAAGCACCCCAAGGAGGCGGAGAAGTCATCAAAAAGAAGGGGAAAAAATCATACAAGGGAGGAAAAGACTCGAGGAAAGCTGTAGATATGCGTACCTAATTATTCTTCCTACCCACATAGAACTACTTTGTAAAAGAAATACAACCAGTGTGTTCAATAATGATTTTATTTTATTTAATTGATTTTTTTGGCAATAGGCCCACGGCCTCTGAGGGAAGAAGAAAACATAGTTGACCCCAAGGGGGAGGAGTCATAAAAAAGAAGAAAAATTTATACAAGGGAGGAAAAGACTTCCTGTGAAAGGGAGAGGAACACTGTAGATATGTGTACCTAATTATTCCTCCTACCAACGTAGATGGATCACAGTGAGCCTCAATGAGTTATAGTACACCTCCATGGATTGGACGAAAAACTGTTTCTCAATGAGACCAACGTTGGCTGCATCAATTTTTAAATCAAATGTTAAATCAAGACTAATATCCAAGCAAAGGATTAGTAATGAGCAGTGTTTTAAATATCGGCCGCCATGTCGGACATGGCGGCCGATATTGCGGATTCGGGAACCTAGCGCCACGAAATTATTGAATTTAATGCGTATGGCGTTGTTGAGGTCATGTCGGGGACATGTCGGAAAATAGCGGATATATCGGGCGACATTTCGGCCATCAAATATCGGCCAAAATTCAGAAATATCGGTTTCACATTGACATGTTGAAATCATATGATTTGCAATATCTTTCACCTTCTATTTATGTAAAGTTTCACATTGTTTCCCATCCACTACCCATATGGGTGCTTGTTGTAGGTTTTAATTACTTGTTATTGCATGTGTTTTCTTTATAATGGAAGGCTATAAGAACACATGAATTTATTTGTATTAGGTGCACATATACTTCGGTTTTACTAGTTTCTTGTTTGGAGAAATGACAGATATATAATAAAAATCCTACAATTGTTAGTCGATGCAGTTAAGTAGTTTAGAATAGCAATTACGAGTTTAATTTTTAATTTCAGTAGAATTTTCTTTTTGTTCCTACTAGTATAATGCACGCACTTTGTATGTGAATATTTTTTTTGTAATCTTTTTCTTTGAGTGTAAAATTATGAAGTGACTTTTATAATAACATAAATTCTTAAATTGAACAATTAATAAATCTTTACATTAATAAATAAAGTTGTGTATAAAGAATTGTATTAGTAATTTTTATATTCTGGATAATTATTATACTTTAATAAGAATTGTCTAAACATATGCAGTTAAGCTGTTCTAGTGTCTATTTGGTTTTCTATGCAAAAGCAAAAACTTGGTGGTTGCTTGTGAAAATGAAGACCTTCTCATATGTACTTTTTCATATGTTTAGACAATATAATTATCAAGTATGTGAAGATTCCATTTATGATATTATATCAACCTATCCGATATGGCAATCCGATATTTTTTTCATGTTCCCCGATATATCCCCGATTTCCGCTATCCGACATGAATTTTGGCCGAGCGACATGAACCCGACATCCGATATTTAAAACCTTGCTCCTCCTCATCCTTAGTATCCTTTAATGGGAATTTGTCCGCTAGTAAGATGATTGAGATTATGAAGTTACATTGTGGGTAAAATAATTTAGATTAACTTTGTGATGGTATTTGCTTGACAGTCAGCAATTTGTTGGAGGATTGCTTTAGTTTACTTCTTTCAGGTCTGCTGTTACATGGGAACAAAGGGTTTCTTTCTGTAGTATCACCTTGATTACGGACAGGTTCATGGTATTCTAATTTTCGATAGAAAGTCTTTAGCCTCGTTGAATTGGAAATAAATTTATGGTTTCTGTTTAATATATTTCATGGGGGCCTGTCTGTGGAATGGTTTCTGTGGAATGGTTTTTATCATTTTTTGGTCCCTTCAGGCTTATATCTCTTGTGACTATTGCAATTAGCAGCAATGCGCGTTTGAGTAATTTAACTCTAGAAATACGTATCGTCAATTTCAGATGGTCTTTTCTTGACAAAATTATTCATTTTTTTTACTCCAGCAATGTGAAAGAGAAAAGCTGCTTCTTCCCTATTCCTCAGGCGGCAGAGTGCATACTACGGGTGGTTGAGAGATCCAATGCTCCTGTCATATATCTCTCTACTGATGCAGCCGAGAGCGAAACTGACCTTCTGCAGTCGCTGCTAGTGCCAAGTGATGGCAGGACAATTCCTCTGGTCAAGAGGCCCAGTCATACTAGTGTTGAGAAATGGGATGCCTTGTTATACAGAAATCATCTTGGTGGAAACGGCCAGGTGGGTTATTTACTTTTCTTCTTCATTTCCCTTGGATTAATACATTAAATTTTGTGTGATTCTCACAAAACTACCATGAACCTCGGCATTAGCGGATCTACATGGAAAAAAGTGGGGCCAACTACCCCACGTTACTCCAGCTCCACAATGTCAACATATATAACAATACATACCCATTTTGTAAACCCATCCCCACTAAAAAACTCACTACTAGAAATTTAAAGTGACCCACTAAAATCTTAGACCATCCTACTGATTGTATTGCCACTAACTGAGAAAGTTTGTATTTGACAATTTTTTTGGGTAAATGAATAAATTTTCATTAACCAAATGAGAATTATATATACACTCCCCAGCCCTGGTATATCTTGTGAACCAAACCTATTTGACAATGTTACTAATGATGCGAGAATGTATTTCTTCTCAAAATATGAAAACTCATTGAGGAAAGTTGTAAATTTTATAATTACTAGTTGAGATGCACATGCAATACACGTGGTTGAATATCATGATTATTTAAAATAGATAAAAATAGAATAAAAATAAGAAAAATAATGTTTTTTGTGTGATTGATCATCAACTCAATAATCACTCTCAACTGAAATATTGTCATTGTTTTTTTCAACACAGACTGTGGCCACGTGATTTACTATTTGTGAGTTATAAACACAATAATCTAGTACAACGTCTCTGTTTATTATTATCTTGCAGTATTCAAAAGATGGGTAATCATTCAATTCGCCAATGAATTTTGCATATGAATTTACTTGCAATGTGTTCATTAAACTTTTACTTGTGGTCATATTTACATTAACTTTTAGTTGTGGTTTCACTCATATTTATATTGTCCAATATTCTCATTCAATTTTATAGCTCATTCTCCGTATCATAGAAGTAAAATTGAAAGTATGAAGAATTATTTTCTTGCGAAATTAGAGCAGTGATATTATGATATATTTCGTTATGTGCTCTAAATATAAAAATACTTTTTCTTTGATGCAAGGTCCCTATCTAATCTTGCCGGAACAATGTGAATAAAAAATGCTATCATAATTCACTTGCTTAGGACAATTGTATTGTATATAAGACATAACTCATCTGAAATATCCACATTTGCTAAATGAATTTTGATATTATAAGAGCAAAATGTTAAAGATTCGTATTCAAACTTTTTGGTTTTATAAAAGACACAAGAATTTGAAGTGCATAGCTTATATATCGTAAAGAACATATTGGTTCATAAAGAATTTTTCCTAATAATGATTTTATTACAACAATGTTACTATTTAGTAGTAAATCAATTTTGTTATATAAGATTATATGACCCTTTTTAATAAATTATAAATTATGTATATGGAAACTTCGATGCTTATAGCCAATAGTTAGGCTTTACAAAATAGGTTAACCTTACATTGTAGTTTGCTATTGGTAATACCGTTGGCAATGTCATTACCTTTCATCTTTATCTTATTATTCATGTTTTTTTTATGTTAGTTCATTTTTGCTAATCACCCAATTGGATATATTTAGTTTTTATAATATCAGATGTTAGAATGTTCTCTTCTGTTTAAAAAGTGTTGATATGATTTTTTTAAAAAAATATATACACTTAGTGTCAATAGTATAAACTTCAGTTCAACTCAAACATTGGCTTATAGCCATTTAGAGTAAGGTCCTTTCTATGCTAAGATAGTGATATAGTGATTACATAATCTAAAAGTCAAAGAAGAAATTTTTACAAAATAAAAGTAATTTAATATGTCAAACTAACAACTAATTTATAAAATATATATGGACAGTACATATAGCTATATAAAGTATGACATATATTTTCATGAAAATTTCATAGTGAGTCACCAACTACAATCATCCTAATTTAAGCATAAATAATTATTATTTTAGTTATTAATTTGATACGCGTAACTATGGAAAAAAAATCTCAAGCAAAAATAGGAATTGAGATTGTATTATCCTGTAGATAAATAAATAAATATTATTAGAGCTCCTCTTTATATTAAATTTAAAAGTAATAATTTAAATTATTAAGTGTCAAATATTAGTTCGTGTGAGAAAGTAAAAGTAATTATAATCTATATACCTATATAGTCAATCAATCAAATGTATTAATATTATGATGATAACAGTCAAAATTGTATAGTGGGTTCACATTAAATATAATTTATAAAAAAATAGTACATAAAAGTCAATTCTTTTAACCACTATATAGATTGTTTGAAATTTTTTACATGTGCAATAAACTATCTTGCCTAGGAATAGTGATGTGCACACTTAATTAGGGCGTAATACATCTTAAGAATGACTTACTCTTCAATATCATCATTAATCGATATATTTATGCATTACAGTGAAAGCACAATGAAAATTTAGAAAACTACAAAAGAAACACCCTAAAAATTTAAAAATTATAAAAAACTCCCTAAACTTTTGTAATTTACAAATACACAAAACTATTAAACATTACATTAAAATCAAGGAATTACAAAAAAAAAAACATTAAAATTTTTCAAACTTTGGAGGAGTAATTTGAAACGTACTAAACTTTAAGGGTGTTTTTTTATATAAATTTTAAATTTAATAGATTTTTAATTAGTTATGTTCTTTTCAAAAAAGTTATGGGTAATATTGACCATGAAAAGTTTTCTTCCTAAACCTATACTTTTAAAGGGAGTATGACATGTTTAGCAAATTATTAATTATCTAGGGGTGATTAGTAATTTTGTATATTCATTTTAGTGTCTATAGGTTAGAAATTCTTATGAATTTTTTTGTAAATTATGAATTTCAGGTTGTTTTTTAAAATTTGAATTTTGAGTGTTTGTTTGTAATTTTTTAAACTTTAAGGGTATTTTCTATAAATTATAAATTATATAGGGGATATTTGTAATTCCTATATTTTTAATGTACTGTTAGGTTGAAAATTATTAGGATTTTTATAAATTTTATAATTTTGAGGGTTTTATTTTGTAATTTGTAAAAAGTTAAGAGTCTTATTGTAAATTCCATAAATTTTTAGATGTTGTTTGTGTTATTTATAGGTTTTTAGTCTGTTTATAGGTTTAAAATTTTCAATGTGTTTTTTATATATTTTGAATCTTTAGGGGTGTTTTTTTTAATTTTCAAAACTTACAAGATATTTTCTTCAAAGTAAAAAAACTTACAATTTCTAGCTAGCATATGTTTTTCAGATTTCTCATTAAATTAAAATAAGTAAAATTTATAATTTTTAATATATTTTAATAAAATTTTGAATTTGTAAGGTTATTTTTGCAATTTAAAAAACATAGAGGATATTTTTTGCAAAGTCTAAAAACTTTTAGGTGCTGGCTAGCATATGTTTTTTACATTTATCTGCAAACTGAAATAAGTAAATGATTTGAATTATATCAAACGTATCTCCTTTATCCAATAACATGTTAAGTCTTATTATGAATATGATAAATCATTTAATTACCAATTCAAAGAATATATGATAATTAGAATAGATTAGGATAACAATATAATATTAAAAAAAGTAAGGGTGATATTAACCATGAAAAGATTTTACCGAACTCGTACTTTTAAAGAGAGTATGATTAATTATATAGTGACACAACTTTCTGGAGAATTTGGATCCGCCACTGAACCTTGGGGTTTTGCGTAAAACTACCATGATTTTTTTTACCAGTGAAAACTACCATGGACTCTCAAAATTGAAAAAAAAACTATTAGAAAGTATTTATTGTGTTAGCGTCTTCTAAACTACATTTGAAAATAAGAGAGAGAGAAAAGGTAATACACAAAATACTAAGGAGAAAATTGTTCAAAACATGCTGAAGCATGTGACGACTTACCCTAATTGTCATCAGACATGGTAGTTAGTAGAAAAGGTTCATGGCAGTTTTCTCTCATGAAAAAACTTTATGGTTGCGTTGTGCAACACTCCAAAATTCATGGTAGTTCTCTGAAATTTACCCATTAAATCTTCTTAACTAACCAACAGTACTGGAAAGTGAAACATGTTTCTTATTTTTTTTCTCTTATTTTTCGATCTAAAGGTCGAGGCCATGCTAGATAAGACAATATGCGCTATGTCAAGCGTGTTCGTTGGAGCATCAGGTTCTACATTCACAGAAGACATACTAAGGATACGGAGAGGCTGGGGTGCTTCTTCTCAATGTGATGAGTACCTTTGCCAGGGTGAGGAACCCAATTTCATAGCTGACAACGATTGAGAAACCGAGGAACCAGGTAGGGGTTTGAATTGTTCATTCATCATGTATATTCGGTGTTGTACATTTCCAAATGTAGACGTGGATTGCTCTGATACGGCGGAGGAAGATTCTTTTTGATTTTCGAGAGATTTCCTCCATTTGTTCGTTATATAATTCATTCGTAGTGTATACTGTTAATGTCATCATATGTAATGATAGTGAAGTGTAATAGAATAATAATATGTGCTTAGTTGAGTGATATCATTCTTCATATCAACATTTGTTATGCTGGTAATTTTTGCATGGGTTTGAAAGATTCTATTTCTGACCTTGGGAAGTTGTTGAAAATGGGAGTATAAAAACTTAATCATGTATAGGCGTTGGCTGCCTGCATTTTCTATCATGCTCAAAATCTGAGAGCATGTGTATCCTAATTCCATACTTCTGTGCATTGTATGTGTGTTTGCTTGTGTATACGCGCGTGCATGTGAGCATACAGATACAAAAATCAACAGCCTTTAGAGGTAATAATTTGTGTTAGTTTTTGTTTTATTTTTTGTCCATACAAAGAACTATATCACCTTCTAATTCAAAAATATAAGGTCTCCGATGTTGTCAGTATCTGGTACTGGTACTGATACAGGCAAAAAAAAATGTTTTAACCATTCCTAAATCTTCTTCTCAACCAAAATGTATTTTGCTTCAGGCCCAAAAATCTTCTGAGGTGAAAAAAAAAAGTTGATCAAAGAACAAGACGATATTTGCCCAGGGGTTTAATTGTCTAACTAATAACAATGTTACGGCAGCGATAACCATTCATATTGCACAAACGAAGGCGACGATAGACGCTCTACAAAACTCTTCGAAGAAAACCTCTTTTGGATATTCCTTTCAGAGTTTACCAAAAGATTCCATTCAGAGTCCACCAAAAGATTCCATTCAGAGTCGGACTTCTTCAGATTTGGGAGATTCCGTTCAGAGTCGGACTTCTTCAGATTTGGGTGATAACTTAAGAGGAACTCTTTACCCAAAATTGTTAGTTCTACTACAGTCTTTATTCATCGGATTGTATTTATTGATTATTAGGGTACTAATAAATAGACCATACAAACGATAGAAGAACAGAAAACATCCTCTTTTTGTTATTATACTATTTTTTGTTGAACATTTACGGATAACAATGAGGCAGTGGGTATATGCGTCGACGGTGGGAAAAAAAAAGTAATAATAAAAAAAAGAAACAGAACTAGTGGGCCAAAAATGTGTAGGGTGTGTGGTGCATAGCAGCGAGGCGGAAGAAAATGGGCCGGTCGTGGTGCTTCC